CTAATCCTTGGTAGACCTTTCCTTGTGACTACAAGAGCTTTGATTGACGTTTATGAAGGTAAGCTAACTGATCCCTAATCCTTGGTAGACCTTTCCTTGTGACTACAAGAGCTTTGATTGACGTTTATGAAGGTAAGCTAACTTTAAGGGTAGGTCAAGAGGAAGTTATTTTTTATGTTCTTAAATCTTGTAAGCTTCCTATAGATTATAATGATTGCTTTAGAATTGATGTTATTGATGATTGTGTACAAGACACCTTGCAAGTTGAAGATAAATTAACCATTGATAAAGGTGACATTAACATTAATGTTCAAAATATGAAAATTGAAGAAGAGAGTGAACCACCAAAGCAAGAAATGAAACAACTTCCCTCCCATTTAAAGTGTACATTTTTGGGTGAGAATAATTCTTTTCCTGTTATTATTTCCTCTCACTTATCACTTGATCAAGAGAAAAGGTTGTTGCAGGTTATAGGAAAGCATAAGAAAGCTTTAGGATGGTCAATTTCAGATTTAAAAGGGATCAATCTAAGTGTGTGCATGCATAAGATTTTGATGGAAGAAGACTACAAGCCAACAATTGAGCATGAAAGGAGATTAAATCCAAACATGAAGGAAGTAGTCAAAGTTGAAATCATAAAACTTTTGGATGCTGGCATTATTTATCCAATCTTGGATAGTAGTTGGGTAAGCCCCGTTCAAGTCATTCCAAAGAAAGGAGATATGATAGTTATTTCTAACAAAAAATAATGAGTTGATTCCTACTCTTTCACAGGTTGGCGTGTGTGTATTGATTATCAAAAGTTGAAAAAGCAACACGCAAAGATCACTTCCCTTTACCTTTTATTGATCAAATGCTTGAAAGACTTGTCGGTTATCCTTACTACTGTTTTCTAGATGGTTATTAAGAGTATTTTCAAATACCTATAGCTCCTGAGGATCAAGAAAAGACTGCTTTCACTTGCCTTTATAGTACTTTTGCTTATAGGAGAATGTCTTTTGAGTTGTGCAATGCACTTGCAACTTTTCAAAGGTGTATGATGTCCATATTTTCTGACATGGTTGAAAAATTCAGTGAAGTATTTATGGATGACTTTTCTGTCTTTGGTTCTTCTTTTGATTCTTGTGTTTATAGCCTTTCTCTAGTAATGCAGCGATATGAGGACACTAACCTTGTTTTAAATTGGAAAAAATGTCATTTTATGGTTAGTGAAGGTATCATTTTAGGGTATAAAATCTCAGAAAAAGGGATTGAAATGGACAAAGCCAAGATAGAGATAATTGAAAAGCTACCACCTCCAAATTCAATAAAGGGGGTGAGGAGTTTTCTTGGTCATGCAGGTTTCTATATAAGATTCATCAAGAACTTCTAAAAAATCACTAAACCTCTTTGTAATTTATTAATTAAAGATGTTCCTTTTGAATTTAACGAAGAGTGTTTGAATGCTTTAACAGGTTGAAGAGGAATTAATTTCAACTCCTATCATTGCTACACCAAATTGGAGCCTTTCTTTTTGAACTCATGTGTGATGCTAGTGATCATGCTATAGGAGCTGTTCTTAGGCAAAGAAAAGAAAAGAAGTTGCATGTCATTTATTATGCTAGTTGTACATTGAATGATGCACAACTTAATTATGCTACCACAGAAAAAGAGCTCCTTGCTATTGTTTTTGCTTTTGATAAATTTAGAGATTATTTAATTGGATCTAAAACAATAGTTCACACAGTTCACTCGGCTGTTAAATATTTGTTAGAAAAGTAAAATGCAAGCCTAGACTAATTCATTGGGTTCTTCTTTTACAAGAATTTGACTTAGAGATTCGTGATAAGAAAGGAACCAAGAACCTTGTTGCTGATCACTTGTCAAGGCTTGAGTTGGGGGAAGAAAGTCAAGAAGAGAAGCAAATTAATGAAGATTTTCCCCATGAATATTTTTTTCTTTTAGTAAACATGCAGGTCCCATGGTATGCGGATATAGTTAACTATCTTGCTTGCAAAATCACTCTTCTCAATCTTTCTTATCAACAAAAGAAAAAGTTCTTTCATGATCTTATTATTATTATTGGGAGGAGACTTTCTTGTTTAAGTATTATAGTGACCAAATGTTTAGACGATGCGTCCTGGAAGTAGAAAAGTAGACTATTCTTCATTTTTGTCATTTAATGGAATGTGGAGGACATTTTGGGGAAAACAAGACAGCAACGTGTGTATTAGAAAGTGGTTTGTATTGGCCTAACTTGTTTGAGGATGCTTTTAACTTTGTTCGTCTTTGTGATCATTGTCAAAGGTTATGGAGTATCTCCAAGAGGCATGGTATGCCATTGAATAACATTCTTGAAGTGGAGATCTTCGATGTCTGGGGTTTGGATTTCATGGGACCTTTCCTTCTTCTTATTCCAACCAATACATTTTAATGGCAATGGACTACATCTCTAAATGGGCGAAAGCTATTACTCTTCCTAACAATGATGCCAAGAGTGTGATTAACTTCATCAAGAAATATATTTTCACTCGTCATAGTAGACCTAATGATGCCAAGAGTGTGATTAACTTCATCAAGAAATATATTTTCACTCGTCATAGTAGACCTAGGGCAATAATCACGGATGGAGGTAAGCATTTTTGCAATAAGTACTTAGATTCTCTTCTTTCAAAATATAGTATCACTTATCGTGTAAGTACCCCCATACCATCCACAAACAAGTGGGAAGGCTAAGGTAACAAATCAAAAAATCAAGAAGATATTGGAGACTACTGTTGGGCATTCACAAAAAGGTTAGTTTAAGAAGCTTGATTATGCACTTTGGGAACTGCATTCAAAACTCCAATTGATATGTCTTCATATCGAACGTTTATGGTAAGGCTTGTCATCTACCTGTAGAATTGGAACACAAGGCATATTGGGTAGTCAAGTTCCTTAATTTTAATACCAAGGAAGTACATGAAAGAAGACTACTACAGCTGAATATAATGGATGATATGAGGCTTTATGCTTATGAGAGTGCCTAAATATACAAGGAAAGAACAAAGCAATGGCATGACATCACTTAGTCACTTTCAACTTTTTGTTCTTCTTCTCCTTTCAAATTTGCTTTCTTCTCTTTCACACTCTTTTGCAACCAAAACAATCATGTCTGCCGAAAATGTCTTACACTGGCTTTCGTGTAATGCAGTGATCGACCCTATGACTCGCCCTGTGAGTCACGGTATGAAATTACGGGAATTTATTTCGGATGTGGGAACGAATATCAGTTTGCGGCATGACTTGGCCAACCACCTTCATTATGCGCGATGGAGGTATTTTGAAAACTTTTCTTTATTTTTCCTACATTATTAGTACTAGAAACATGTAAATAGGAAGTTAGAAATCAAAAACTAGGTTAGATTTTACCTGATTTGGACGATTTGGGCATTCCAAGCCTGTGACGAGCCACTGTGGGGTGCGCCACAGGGTTGTGGCGTGCGTCACTTTAGTTGCTATTTGGCTAGTCTGCATGCCTGTGGCATGCTCCATAGAGCTTGTGGCATGCGCCACTTGAGTTGTGGCTTGCGACACTTCCCTGTGGCTCGTACCACAATGCCTATTTATACTTCATTTTTGTGCTTTTTGTCCTTTTTCTTTGCTTTTCTTGCATAAAAAAAAACCAGAACAATGTGCCTTTGCACTTTATTATCATACTTACAGCAGTTTTATTTTTGCAGAAAAGCATGAGGCACGGGAATTCTGGTGACAACACCTTTGCAGCCGGTGAGTGGTTTGATCAACTACCCGAGCGAGTTCAGGAGCACGTCCGAGAGGTGGGTTTTAGTCATTTTATGGATACCCTACCTCGGGTGTAGGAACAGACTCTACCATCCAGCATACTGGCGTTGATGGAGCGATGAATGGATTCCATGCATACATTCCATCTGCTGTTTAGCAAGATAACTATTACGTCGATAGACTTTGCCACTATCACCGAGTTGCCGTCTGGAGGATGGTCAATGGTCTTTAATGACAGGATGAGGACTTTGGATTGTCCAGGTCTACGAGCAGGCATTCGGGCTACTATTGACATGGAGCCCACCATCTGTGATTTGAGACTTAAATATGAGAGCATCTATTCTTATTATCAGGAGTTGCCCCTAGAGCAGGTGGTAGAGATGAACATGGATGTGGTGGCTCCAGCCTATTTTTTCTATCTGCTTTCAACCACTTTTTCACAAACCATGGAAGCAATGCAGATTTAACATTGTTACCACCATTACAGGATCTAGATGCCACCAGGTAGTTTAACTGGAGGAGCTGCTGCTCTATCTTATTTGTACCATGGCATGGACCTGTGCTTCCAAGGAGCTCACTTGAAGATGGTCTACAAGTGGGCTATTGAGATACAAAATCCCATCTTCTAGTTATTATCTGTTTTTTGCTTTTATTCTTACTGTTCCCTTCACTACAAAAAAAAAATGCCATTTTGCGACCGACAAATCGGTCGCAAAATGGCTAAGATCAGTCGCAAATTGTACTTTGCGACCGACATATGTCGGTCGCAAAAGACCTGGTCGCAAAAACTATTTGCGACCGATTATTCCATCGGTCGCAAATTTGCGACCGATTATATCGGTCGCAAACTTGAATAATCGGTCGCAATTTTTGGTCATGGTTTAATTTTTTGCGACCGATTATATCGGTCGCAAACTTGAATAATCGGTCGCAATTTTTGGTCATGGTTTAATTTGAAATTCAGTCGCTAATTTGGTCGCAGAAAAATCGATCGCAAATTTTTTTAATCAGTCGCAAATCGATCGCAAAATGTTAATTTAAAATTGTAATTTTCGGTATCAAATCGGTCGCAAACTTAAAAAAAAAAAATTAAATATTATTATGAAACCAAAATTTTTCGCACCTGTGAAAATTGACATATATATATATATCACACACGCAATTCAAGAACAATGTAAAAATGTAATTTTTATTGTACTGTAATGTACTGAACAAAATTTAAAAAAACAACTGGAAAACTAAAAAGGTTCAAAATCAAATCCACGCAGTTGGTCATCTGCACGATCCAATGTCGGATCGCCGAGAGGAGTACCTGCTGGATATGCTGTAGTGCCGGGAGGGGTGACAAAGGTATCGTCTGCAACATCAGGATTAGGAGACGGTAGTGGCTGCTGCTGAGATGTCGAAACATTTCGATCTGTAGTAGGCGCAGGATCAAAGGAAGAAGTACGCATCGGGCTAACCGGACAGCCGCATGACATGCACTCTAAGTTCTGCAATCTGTCTCTGCTGATCATCAACATGAGCCCGTAATGCAGTAAACTCCTCGGCACGTCAGTGTGCTCGGGCTGTGGTGCTGTGCTTGGCTGAGAAGGTGAGCTGCTTGAGCCGCATAAAACTGTGAGCTAAGACCCGATGCCGTATACCTCTCTTCTTCTCGCCCCCCTACAAGCCTCCTTCTCACCCCCTACAGCCTCGAGATAAAGTGCTACCTCATCAATTCTTGACTCAGCTTCAGATTCAGCCTGAGAAGAAACAAGATGCTCCCGAGCTACAGTATAGTTCTTCTGAAAACAAAAAATTAATTAATCAATGCAGTTGCAAGCTTTATTATATTGAACTTTGTACATTTTCGCAACGACTAGATGGTAAATGTAAATATTCTTCATTGTTACTTACATTAACGCTCACCGCACGTCTGTCGACAAACGTATTAAGATCGTGGTCCTTCGTGTGAGTGTATGTAAACACCTCAATTGGTGTGGGCTCACGACCAAATTTTTCAGCCTGTAATGAATTTTTATGCATTATGCATGATATATTAACATATATAGTGTCCTTTCATTAAACATTAGTTTCATGTAAAGGGACTAGTTTACTTACTAATAATCGAGCAGTCTCTATAGTAGATATAGATCCGCCTGTGTGTCGAGAAGGCCCTGCTCCATCACCGCCAGTCTCACTGCGCCTGTTTTGTGCAAATATCTCCCGCTTTCTCCCGCTTTCTCTTGAAGGCAGGATCCTCCCAAGCCTTTTCCAGCTCTCCAAGCCTTTTGCCAGCTCTCCCATATCTCCTGAGACACACACTGCTGCTTCTTACCGCTTCTTCTCATCCTATAGGTGAAGTCAGCATATCGATCGGGGCATATCTTCTCCCAAGCTACTTTCAGCATAGCCGTGATGGCCTCGTCCCATATGAAATGTTTCTGCAAAAAATTAAATATAGCGTTTCAACACTAAGGATGTATGTTGAATTGTAAACATTCAATGATGATAGAACTTAAACCAAAGAGTACCTGAAACTCCTCCCAATAAAAGTCTCTCGCCTCTTGTGGTACGGCATCCCAATGTGTATCCTTCTTTCTATGCAGCTGGAGGGTTGATTATCTCTCAAAATTTTCCTCGCTGCTCTAGAAGATGGATATATGCTGAAAAAAATAGAAGTGTGAAATATAATTACACGAAGCATTCACAATGTGAAACAAAATATGCATTGCGGAAAAATTGAATAAGTAACTTACTGTCCCGCTACAAACTGAGGGTGATACGTTGGATCTGAAGAAGCTGCCAAAAGAATGGCAAATGGTTATATTTTTAGATAATTAATTATATAATTTAAAATGACAGTTATTTGACATTTATTGATTACCTTGCATGTTTAGGGTGACTGTGCAGTGTGGTAGTCTGTAACTGGTTCCAGAAATGGGGTAGAAGAGGAAGGAGCAGAAGGGCTGTGATGGAGGCAGTCTGGACGCTGAGCAGAGGATGAAGCCCCAGACATACCTTGAAGAAGGATTTGTGATGGCAACAGTACTGGTCGCTTTGAGCAGATGACGAAGCACCAAGAAGTACCTTGACGAAGATTGAGGGATCGACCCTCCTCGTCCCGGGCAACTGCGTCCAAGCCGTCCTCCAACGACCTCCACGCGAACCACTGCCGGACGCGTCAGAATCAAATGCTCTGCCTCTGGCCATCTGTACTGCAGATATCAGAACCTAGATAAAATGAATTTATACAATTATATGAATTGTAGAACGTGTGGTAAATATGAGTAAAGAAAGTTAATAGCATTGAAATTCTTCATTAATAATATTAATTAGATATACATTTATCAATTTGTAACAGTCAAACTGCTATAAGTTTTAAGTGTCTTCAATATCATCTGCTTCCTCCTCCTCTTCATCAGGTTCCTCTTCTTCATATTCATCTTCTGAGGTGCCCATGATGATTTGATCTTCTTCGTCTTCATCATCTGATGCTCCTATTTCAACATATGATATTACTATGTAGTTATAATATTTAGTTATCATATATATATATGTTAATTTATTAACACTAATAATGATATTAATGGTTTTTATTAGTTTTTTATAAAACAATTTTGCTTATTCCAATTTATAAAAAACTTGAACGATTCTATTTTTATGTTCTAAAAGCACATACGACATATGGTGGAAATTATCAAGTTATTTACAGGTTTCAGCAGCCAAGGTGTTGCAAGAGACATGCAACTACATCAGAAACTTGCACAGAGAAGTCGATGATCTAAGTGAGAGGCTATCTGAGTTATTGGCAACTACTGACACTGCTCAAGCTGCCATAATTAGGAATTTACTAATGCAATAATAGAGCTTAATCATCAATTATTTAATAATTGCTAGTTAATTTTCAGTACTTATGTAATAGAACTTATCTTTCTTAATTAATTTCTTTCTATTTCTCTACCTTAATCAATTTCTAGGTTTTTATCATCATTAGCAGTACTGTACTTATGATGATGGAGGTAAAGTAGTAGTTTGGGAGTGGGCAGAAAATATAAACCAAATCTTTAAATCCATTTTTTTCTAGTTGCTCTTTGTCGTTTCTCTCAAGCATAATAAAAGGTTCCATTTGCTGACATATGAACTTGCCAATTTTCTAAACTTATGGATTGGATCTACTACAATTAGGTTTTGAAAGGATGGCGGGAGAGATTTATATATACACACAGACACACTTCTTTTGAGATTGCTATCTTTTGAGATGCTATTTTATGTAAGACCAACATGATTTAAAAGAAAAAATGTTGATTATGATTTAATCATTTCTGATTCCATCCCTTCTCACTATATCTAATTTAGGGCAAATACTGAAGTACAGGACCCAATTAAATTGATTTTTAATTTTTTTTTTTGAGAAATAAGCATAATTGGACAGTTAAAAACTGCATAATCTTATTGTTTAAAGAATGTTCAATTATCAGATTATATGCAAATAAATAGTTGCATATGTAGGGTTAAGCTCGAGAATTAGCTTTTTTTTTTTCTTTTTATAAGTTAATTAAAGAAAAAAGATGGAACATTAAATTGAAACAGTATAGTAACAGAAATGACCTGAGCGAGTGAGGAACAGTTAACTAGAGAAGAACTGAAACAAACCCAACTCCCAATCCTAAAAATTAAGCAGCTGTAAAGGGTCATATGGTGCAGAAGATGAGATAATTCTATGTGTTTGAAGTGAGGCAATTCTATGTTGATTGTAAGATAATTCTATGTGTATGAAGTGAGAAAGCATTTTTATTGAAGACCTAATATAATCTTTCTATATTCCAAGCATTTCCATGAAAAGCTTTATCGATCGAATCAGCAAAACTGTCAACTATTGCACATTTCAATTTTGGTAATTGGATAATTGGATAAATTTTATTTGCAATTGGCTTCAAAACATTGACTTATAAGAAAATAAATAGATTGACCCTTTATGTTTTTATTGATACATATATATCCATTGAAGGTAATGATAGAAGGAGCATATTCATGAAAGTTTAACGGAGGATTGTTAACAAGTCTCAGATAATATTCCTACTGCATATGCTTTTTTTTTTTAACTAATGAAAATGCTTATACATTTATGTTTTGATTTCTTTTTCATTTTTTTGAACTTATGGTACTACATCTATGATAAATTAGTGAAAATATCACATGCAGAAAAAGGTATAACTACATGATTATTGATTTTAAAGGCAAAGAAGCGGTTTCATTATTGTTTTTATTTTCTTTCAGGTTCAATAAAAATCTTAGTTCAAAAAATTTTTTGCTCTCATCAACTGAAATGTCGATGTTAGGAAACTTGAAACTTGTTAATATGCAGGGTCAAATGAATCAATTAATTTATAAACCATGCACTGAATTTCCACTTATGATGCTCAACAGACTATTTTCAATGAAATAATAAGATGCAATAAACTAAATGACGTTACAATATACAAATAATTATGCCCAAATACAAATAAATCGCAAATCAAAAAAAAAAAAAAAAACAAAATTCAAAAAATTTCGAAACACAAATCGCAAAATACCTCAAGAAGACGGGTGGAGTGACCGGAGGGGCTAGAGCGGCGTCACGAGGGGCTGCAGCGGCGTCAGGCGGGCTGCAGCGGCGTCAGGAGGGGCTGGAGCGGCCTGCGAGCAGAAGAGAGGAGAGGAGGAGGAGAAGAAAGAAGAAGAAAGAAGAAGGAGGGCGTTTAAAGCCCTAAAATTTGCGACCGACAGTCGGTCGCAAATTCCATTAATATCGGTCGCAATTTTTTACACTGCGATGTCGTTTTACTTCGCAGTTAATTTGCGACCGATTTGCGACTAAGACAGTCGGTCGCAATAATTCGGTCTCAAATCTGTCGCACATCAGTCGCAAAATTGATTCCTAATTTTGAACCGCGAAATTTTGCGACGGAATAACCCTTAGTCGCAAATCGGTCGCAAAATCGATTGCAAATCCGTCACATAGTAGTCACAATCTGAGAAATAAAATCGCAGGAATTGTTACCACTAAAATTTGCGACTGTTTGTTCTTCTGTATCAAATCGGTCGCAAATTTGTGACCGATACTTGTCGGTCGCAAATATCGGTCGCAAATTAGCGTTTTTTTTTTTTTGTAGTGCTTGTTCATTGGCTTCTGCCTTAATTTTGATGTAGATTTGGGCTTATAAGCACAAAGTCCTCCCCATGCCTAACTTGTTTGGCTTGGAGGACGGGGTAAATGCGAGAACTCTTAGTCGAGGCTAATCATGGCACTATAGTAGGAGGTATTCTAATACTACCTCTGATATCAGGATGTTTAGACAGCTATTGAATGACTTAAATTGGGACTAGGTAAGATGCTACCTCCCTTTATTTATTTTGCTTTTCTTTTTTTTGTCTATTTCTTATTTTTATTGGGTTTTTTTATTGATTTTTTGTTTATAGATAGAGAAATATCCATGGGGAGATGTAGTTGACTTCTTCGATTTTGTTCAAGCGGCCGTTGTCTATCAACACAGATGTTTCCTCCTTCCGGGGCTGTTTTATGATATGTATTACCTTGAGGAAAGGGTCTACGAGTGGGAGCTCGGTCCGGACTAAAGGAGAGTCCCTCAGACATCCCATACTACAT